TTTATTATGTTAATTGAGTTTATTATGTTGAAATAAATTAATGCCTCTCATAGATTAAAAAGGAAAAAACAAAGTGAGATACTGAACATGACTGGGACCAGTCTCCTAATCCTACAAGACTAGTTCGATCATGTTCAATTTTAGGTTACACAAAGACTGAACCAAACCACATGTTATGAAAAGGACCAAACTTTGAGTTAGGCCGAGATCTTGTCCGTCCGTCCTTCGTGTAGCCTTAATAGGAGCATACCAAATTCAAGATTATGCATGTCAAAGCTTTGCCATCAAGTGGTTGGTTTGGTTTGCACAATATAGAAATCAACATCGATAGGTTCTGGGCTCAAAAGAAGCATAAAAAAGTTAAGGCCATTAATGAAATAGAGGCAGCAGTATCGAGCCCAAGGAAACAGAAGCCATAATTCCCTTTAAGAAATAGTAGAGGCCATGTTGCTAAGTTTAATCTAGATATCGATTCCTTAATAGTATTTTATTAGGTAGAGTTAGGAGAGAGAGATTTTTTTTTTTGGATACATGAAGAGAAAGACTTAGAGCCCGTTTAGATTTCAGTTGCGTATAATTAATTAAAAAAATAATTAATTAATATGATTGATTTTGATTATAATTGATTATATTATAATGCAATTTGTTAGATATTGTTTTTCTTAAATTGATTTTAATAGAATTGAAGATGTTTGAATAATTTAGTCAGAATCAATTTAGCTGTATAAATTACTATAAAGGACATTACTTTTCAAAATTAAATTTTTGATAAATTTGTATATAATATTTTTAAATTTGTTAAATTTTATTTAAGAAGTAAAATATATTATTTAAATTATATATTTGATTAATTATAAAAATTTAAATTATATTAATATTAGCATTTTAATTATGTTGATAAATAACTCAAAATATCTTAAATCAAATAAATTTAATAAAAGAGAAAGATTTAATTTTTAAATACCAAGCATCAATTTTACAATAACCAATGAAGATGACAATATACAAGTTGATCTTTATGACATCATATATATGAGTTATATTTGATGAAGATGTTATGGATGATGGTAAAGATAAATATTCATTAATGTGATGATCGTCCTAATGCTCATGCTCTATTTGATCTTCTTTTTCATGCCGCATAAAATTAGAATCATAATTGAATCGTTTTCTAATGAAATTATGTATCATAATTGATGCAACAACGATATGAACTTGTATATCATAGTCGTAGCTAAGCATATTGCATAAAATTACAAACCTGTTCTTCTAAACTTCAAATATTCTTTCTATCGTGCATCATAAACTTGAATGAAAATAATTAAAGACCTCATTATTATTTGTAAATCTAGTAGATCTTTTAAAATTAAAAAATGGCAGCGTTCTCATCTATATGAACTATGATATGCTTGGCAATAGCAGGGATAAAAAACAATATGATTTCAACAGCATTAATCATTAAGTATATAGTAGACACAATCATATAAGAGGTGAAACACCATTCCTCAACCAAGCTCCCCTAATTGCTAGTCCATGTAAAGATGATATTCATAATTGCTATGAAAAAGGCTACTTATTTATTTGAATTATTTGAATTTTGAAGCATGAAAGAGGGGGGCATATTAACAATCACTAATGTTTAGGAAATGAATATTAAAACTTAGAAATAGTGAATCTCTAATTAGAGTGGTAACGATCCCTCTTCTGCTTCAATATCCCTGAAAAGATATTTAAATTTAGATCATATTTAGCCCACCTAAAAAATAGGTTATTTTTTCAAAAAAATAGCTTCAATTTTTCACTTTGGCAAGGAGAAAACATCAAGCTTCAAGCTTATTTTAAGTGATAGTAAATACTACTGGGGGATCAAGAAATTAGAGTTTCTTATTCGAAGCAACATGAGAAGAAAAATAGTTCTCTTTTGGATATGCATATCCTTGCTGAAAAATTACAACAACAACAACAACAACAAACCAACATTAATTAAAAGAACAAAATTTAACTAACTCAAGTTTTTAAAACATTGCAATAATGTGAGAAGAAAATATAAACCAGAACATTGCATACAATAGTCCTTACCATATTTAGGTTAGTCACCAATTAAGACAGACTGCCAACCAACATAGAAAGAAACCATTTGCATGAAACTAATAATTTTAAACCTCATTCTAAATAGATGTAACTAAAGAAAAAAAGTTTGCAATGATAAATAAAATTACAAATAGAAAGATACCGTGGGGTGAAAGCCAAGCAAACAAGCAAAAAGAGAGTTTTTTTGGTATGAAGAACCATATACATGTCCTTTTTGCCATTTGCCATGTGGCAAGCGATTAATAACCAAGCAAGGAATAACCACTAAATAACAAGTCCACCACCAAGAACAAAAACAGAAAAGACTGAAATTGCAAAATTCTAACAAATCAAAACTAATTGAGAGACAGAAGAGTACTGCTCCATTCATCTGGAATTGAAATATCCAATAGAATATACTGTGCGCATGTACCAAATCCAAGTATCAAATTCAAAGGCTTGTTCCTGAGAGCATCTTGCTTTCTCATATCAAGTCATGAGTTCAACTAGGCAACAAGAATTTCGTACCATAAAATGAATATGCTCTTTTAGCAAGGATTTTGTCCTGACATATAATTGTTATAACTAATTATATACCATCCAAAATAGAGTCTTGAGCAGCCAAAAACACCACAGAAACTTAACAAAATTACAAGCCATAGCTATGCTCGAAGTCATGAGAAAAATTTTCACACCATTCAAAATAGAGTCACCAGATCGTTCAAAATAATGGTCAGAGAAGATTATTTACCTTACAAGGGACTTAGCTCGACTGCTACTTCACTCAAATAGATTAGAGGAGATCAAAGATGAAGAAGACACTAGATGACGAGTAGATCATAAATGGGGCTTTAGATAAAGGCAACATTGACCTTCTTTAACTATGGCTGGAGATTACTGTCGTTAGCCATAGATTGAAGATGAGGGACAGCAACCAGGGTGAGGATGGGAGGATCACGACACACCAGAAGAAGGACCACACATATCTGCATAAGAGAGAAAGGAGAAAATGCAATGGCCGGAGATCATTACCTCTGGCTATAGATCAGAGATGGCGGATGGTGACCAATTAAGGGGTGGGTAGACGACGTTGGAGAAATGGTGCAAGGCTCAAAGCTGTAGATCGCAGAAGGTGAGAGACGAGAGATGAGAGATAACAAGAGAAATGAGAGAACTTACATATCATAAGTTAATAACATGAAAGAGGGTAATATTGGCAGGTCAAACATTTTCTAACAAATAATTAAGGCTGTAACGGTAAAATTGAATCTTGAAACTGTTTTAGTGAACTTGTTTCAAGAATCAATTTGGGCCCAATGATCGATTAATAAAATTTTGTAATGTTTGGATGATTTTCATTCAAAACAAGATTTTGGCTCAAAAAATCGATTTTCTGTGCTATACAGACAGTTAAGTGGTAAGGAGCCCATGAAAGAAGAGCACAAATGATTAAAGGCTCACTCACTTGGCCCTTCATCTCTCTCCCAATCTCCCCTCAACCTCTACCAAACCCCAGAAAAGACGGTGCTTGCCCCCATGTAGAAAAATTACCCTGATAATACCGCGCCTACTCGATCATTACAGGTTCACAGTGGATCCAATGCATGTTTATTCATCCGTCCAGATGAATCTTGTTATTTTATTATTTATAGCACGTCAATTATACAATTTCTTTTCTTTTTATTTTCTATATCCATATATATTAATGTCCACACTTATTATGCTAGATTCTGTTTTACTTTTATTCGATTAAATCTGATTAAAAGGAACATTTGATGCATCGTGCTTTTGATTGAAACAAGATTGGAGAGTCTACGCTTGAATTGGGCGAATCATCATTTCATTTTTTATAATTACTGGATCCTGCTAACCATGCAATCACGTATTTTACAACATACACATATTATATTTGTGATATTTATGCAATAAAAATAAAAAAGAATTAGTTCATGCATATCTTTAACCCGAGATAGTTAATTACCTCATTAGGTTGAACAAATTGCACGCAACCTTGTTAAGAGTCGAAACTTCATGTCAATCCTTTGAATCTCAAATGGAAAATAAAAACGGCTCAAATCAAATTCAAAACATCATTTGAGCAACTTACCTTCTTAAAATATTAAAACTTATCTGGCGCCCAACTAAGTTGCGTAATCATAGAAGCTAGATAAATTAATTATCAGGTAATATCCACACACCCGAATCTATTTTTACGGGACATGTATTATCAAGTCAGAGGCCCAATTCTGGGGAAAACGTCAAATGCCCAATTAAATTTAGGGACTTGAATTTTTTCATTTGCCAGTGTCATTTGTGGGTGCAATGGGTCCATAAATTTTTTTTACTGGGTGAAGGGTCGCAAAAAAATTATCATTTTACAAGTACTCATCTTTATATAAAAAAGAAATAAGTACAATTACACCTAAGTCCCATAAAAAAAAGATTCATTATCAAAAAATTTTATAAAATTCATAAAATATTTCAATTTTTTTTAAAGAAATATGCATATTCTAAATCCTAAATTTCTAATCATTAAAAGCTACAGGATTTTGATTGGCAAAAGGAAGGAGAAGGAAAAAAAGCTGCATGACTTTGTCAGTCACAATCAAGCGTGTGAATGTGAGTAATACAATATAATTATTTCCTTGCTCCATTATTGGCGGATTAGACTAGAATGTCTTTCTAGATATTAGATAACTGACTTTGGAGACGAGGGTTGTTCCTAGGAGTTTCAGATTGCGGGCGTCGGAGGGTCTCCGTGTTATGTATTTACACCTGCACCACGAGGAAGGATGAGAATGCTAATTCCTAAGTAGCGACCTTCGTATTAAAAATGACCCTCAACTTTTTTATTATTAAACTTTACCAAACGACCAATTACTTGTTAGCATGAAATTTTCTGGTGGAATGAATATAAGATCCTCCGACTCAGATGAAGCAGTTAGTGTTTTTCTATGGGAGGCAATTATTATTACTTTATAATAATATACTTGTTTTAAACGGGAAGAGAGCTAATACGAGTCAAGGTTGACCCCGTTGGTTTCCGTCTGCATTACCCTTCTCCATTCATCGCCCTCTGCTTTGGCGCTAAGCAAAAGTTAACCCGCCTGATTGAACCGTTAACTCCCAGTTCGCTCCTTTCTCTCACAACTTATTTGCAATTCTTCTTAAATCAATGCACCTGGAGGTATGAAAAAGCTGGTTGAGTTACTTTTCATTCACTTTTTGTCGAAACGTTGAATTGGTCGGCGTTTTCCGAGTCAGTCAACGGCAATCGCTTGCTTGTCAGCCCCCCCCCCCCATATCGGCGCTTCCCACCTCTCAATTTCGCTTTACTGGTCATCAATTTTGGGTTTCCCAGAAAATTTATCTTTCCTTTTAAATTGTAGCCGGTCAAAGTTGCTAGCTTTTCCCATCTACTTCGTAATTTCTGTTTTGATATTCACGGAGACTTGCATATTAATATGGCTTTGCAGTTGGAGACCTGGACAGTTTTGGTTGCCATTTTGTGTGTCGTGGGTTTTGTTCTGAAGGAGTCGCTCATGGGAGGTAAGAGCTCGAAAGAGGAGTATCGGAGACGCGTGTCGTCTTATGGCTCTGCGTCTTCTTGTTCAAGATGGGATGGCTATGGATATCCGCAATCACCACACCCTCCACAAAATCCATACTACACGCCTCAACATTCAAGCGCACCCGCTCCATTCTACGAATACGGGTCACAGACGTCTCAGCCTAGTAGGAGGTTGGATAGGAGATACTCAAGAATAGCTGATGATTATCGCTCTCTTGACGAGGTTAGATTGCTTGCCCCGTGCCTGTGATTTTTTTGGGATCCAATTACCAGTTATTGGACTTGAGTCTCACGTGGGAGGCATAGGATTTCGATTGATGTCAACCATCCCTTCATTTGTTTGCTTCTTTTTAGTTGTTATTGATTAATTACATGTTTATCATTGACAATTCCAAGGCTGGTCTTCATAATTTTCTGAAGAGGTAATGTGAATGTTTTACACGAAAGTTCCTGTCTCAGGGACTAAACATCACAGAAAATAAAAAAGAATCGGCATATTCTATTTAAGTCAGAGGAGACGCATGAAGTGTGAATTGTTCTGCTTGATATCTTGGTGAGAAGTCTCACCTGTTATTTTCAAGCCTTCAGTTTTCAGAGAGTGTGTGATAGAATTGGCTGCATCTTTTCAACGAGTAAACTCTTTTACTTCAACTTTTCTGATAAAAGTTGTATGCTTATGTTATATCATTTAGTTTGCCATCTCGTGACATGGCATGATCTTTTTAATTTAAGCCATAGTAATTGAATAACAAACTCTGCTGATACAAAGTAGCTGAAGAAAAGGTACTGTATTGGTCATGGTTTGAGCTACTTTCCTTCCCGGCATTTTCTCCATGCTTAACTTTAGTACTTGTAAATAGTACTGCGTTTGGCTATATGGAGAGAATAGGGTGCGGGGCAGCATGCATGAGTTGAACATAACACGATTCAACTTGTATTTCATAGCTGTATAGATTTCATCAATGTGTGTGCGTGTGCGTGCATGGACTCCGTGTGATTGGCGAAAACCTTAGCCAGTCTTTTCATTGCAAGGAGCAAAACAAGACCATGTGGCTAAGGATGGTTTTGAGAAACATGTGGATGAGCTAACTGCCTTAGTTGTTTTCAATGGGTTTAGCTCCAGTGTATTATTCTTATTGGATTATACAAGGTACTTGATGAAACGGATGTGGATGATATATTAAATGCGCTTACTTAGAATGTGCATAGAACTTAATTGCTTATGCAAGTAACTGTTGCAGCTAGCAAGAATTAATTTCCCTTGGAATTGCTAGCGCTGGAGTTAATGGATATCTATAGTGAAACTGCATAATTGCGTTTCTTGCAATTGATATATCTGATATGAACCCAAGTTCCCAAATATTACCATCCGGAAAACTCCAGCATTTTTGTCAAATAATGTGGTAAATGGATGCAGGTTACTGCGGCTCTTGCACATGCTGGCCTGGAATCTTCTAATCTCATTGTTGGCATTGATTTTACCAAGAGTAATGAGTGGACAGGTATGATCACTTGCTCTCATTTTGAAGCTTGGTTATTTTTCTGTGAATTGTAACACTGACACTAGATGTTTCTTTGAAACTCAGGAAAGTTATCATTCAACCGGAAGAGTTTACATAACATTGGAAGTGGGCATAATCCTTATGAGCAAGCGATCTCAATTATTGGGAAAACTTTGTCTGCTTTTGATGAAGATAACTTGATTCCTTGTTTTGGATTTGGAGACGGTAATGTCATTATGATATCTATGTTCTTGCCAATTAAGCTGTTTGTTTTCCCAAGTTGCAGGCCTGATTGTTTTCTTTTTACCCTATCAGCGTCAACACACGATCAAGATGTCTTTAGTTTCTATTCTGAAGAGAGATACTGCAATGGGTTTGAAGAAGTTTTGACAAGATATAGAGAAATTGTTCCTCGTCTCCGGCTAGCAGGTGTTGCCACCACCTTTTTTTTTTTTTTAAGTGTATATCAGATAAAATTCTCACTGAGGCTTAGAGTAACTTAATGCTTTCATTTGACAGGACCAACTTCATTTGCCCCTATCATTGAGATGGCTATGACTATAGTTGAGCAAAGCGGTGGCCAATATCATGTTTTGCTCATAATTGCTGATGGGCAGGTAAATAAACCTGATTCTGGTTTCGAACTTCTGAGAAGTGCACTTATACACAGACTTACTCCGCATCAGCCATCAAAAGTATCACATGGTAGCATCATGCGAGCTTGTAAAGGACTAAATGTGAATCCAAGCATCATTTCTGAAGAAACTACTACTTTTGTTTTTTTTTTGGGGGGGGGGGAGAAGAAAGTACTACTTACTCGTTGTATTCTAACCTCGGAATTCCATTTGTTTGGCCTTTGTGATGCTATCATTTGGTGCAGCTCATTGGATTATTACACATCCACATCTAAGCACATATATCTTGCAGAAAAGAAAAACCCTAACAGCAGTTGTGAGATGTTCAACCCCTGCACTAAGTGCATGGCTGCTTTTTTCTGATATGCTGGGACTTTGAAAATTGATATTCAGAATATTGCCACAGGTGACCCGAAGCGTTGACACACAGAGTGGCCAATTAAGTCCACAGGAACAAAAAACAATTGATGCAATTGTGAAAGCAAGGTAAATATTTGGTTCTCTCCCCTCTGGAGTACCACCCAGCATTCTTATGTTCTTCATCAAATTGCAGTGAATATCCCCTATCAATAGTTTTAGTGGGAGTGGGAGATGGACCATGGGATATGATGAAGGAATTTGATGACAACATCCCTGCTCGGACCTTCGATAATTTTCAGGTCATCAATCTATGTTGTAATTCACTTTTGCTTTATTGACTTCTTCTATTTGAATTGAAGTTCTGAATTGTGAATATTTCCTTGCTGTATGTAGTTTGTGAATTTCACTGAAATAATGTCAAGGAATGTGAGTTCAGCCAGAAAAGAGACAGAGTTTGCTCTTTCAGCTTTGATGGAGATACCTTCCCAATACAAGGCAACCGTAGAGCTGGGCTTACTCGGGTAATAAATGAATGTCCATTAATACAAACATGATACTTATGGCCTGTTATTATAGAATTCTCATGTCTTCATCAATAATGCAGGGCACGAAATGGATACTCACCAGATAGGGTTCCTTTACCCCCACCTCTTTATGATAGGACTTCTTCTAGCACCGGTACAAAATCTTATCGCTCTGGTAGTTTTCAGCAGAGAGCACCTCAATATACTGGATATGATACTGGAGTTAGCGCAGGACCGTCCTCCAGCTCTTTGTACGATAATAAGGTATTAAGACCATATTCTCCAACCTAAGAGACTTCTTTCATATTTTCGGAAGACATAGTTAGCCTTGATGATATTATGATCATTACCATAATCTGAGTCAGTTTAAGCAATACTTTACCGGAAACATTGTTAACTGCAGGTCTGTCCAATTTGTCTCACTAACCCGAAAGATATGGCATTTGGTTGTGGGCATCAGGTAATTACATGCTTGTAGTAGGTTACCGAATTCAGGGCTGTGTTAAAGAGGAGGACTGACAATATTAATCTTGCGTATGTTCCATTGTATTTCTTGATATGGCAGACTTGTTGTGACTGTGGAGAAGGCCTTGAACTCTGCCCCATATGCCGGAGCACAATCCAAACCAGAATAAGGCTTTTCTAGTTTGCGTTACTGCAAACCTACTCTTCCAGTGGCAATTGCATTTGGATGCTTGGCAAGTGGAAGTGGCACTGAACTAGTGAGTTAGCTATGAAAACATCGGTTGTGAGATAACCTGTATTGTGTCCGCACGATAATTAGGCCATAAAGTGATTCTCGGATTCTCGTGGGGCCTTGGAAAGCAGAGAGACATAGGCGTTGGTCTTTAACTTGATGGATATGTTTCTTGCTTTAAATGCAAAACTGAATTTGCAATATTGAGGCACGAAGAGTATGTTAGATATCCACGTATGCCGGATGCTGGCCATGTCCACTGTACATACGTGAGTCGTTTCGGCCTCATGGAGTCTACTTGTCTTAAAATCGTTTCGGCTTGTGGGAACAACGTGAATGATGGTTTTGTCGTTTTGGTGTCAGTCTTCCTCTTTGCAAACGTCATAGTGTCACAAGCTTATTTGCCACCACTCCTTGCATATATGTCAAAATTTTAAATTCCTCTCATGTTGGTCCATTGTAGTTTTTGTCTTGAAATGAGATAAAAATGACCCCCCCTATCATTTAAAACATGATTTTCTCAAAATTTTTAATGCTAATTGGTAAAAAATACTTTTTAATGATTTTGTTCGGTCATTTTACTCATTTCGGACATCAAAATAAGAAGCAAGTTGCAGTAAATGAATTTAGAGGACAAAAAATGTATTGTTACTCGAATAACGCAAAAAAAAAAAAGAGGAGGAAATCCGGTTCCTTAAAAATAGTCAAGCCAAGCTTAAACTCTTCTAAGTTTTAGGCGGTTTGAATATTTAAATTTTATTTTTAAAATTATTTTTAATTAATATTTTTTACTTTAAATTAATTATTTTATTTTATAAAAAAATATAAAATATATTTTTTTGAGACTTAAATGATGTACAAGACTCAAATACATGGTATATTAATATAAAATAATCTAAAGCTTAAGGAATTAATTAATATTTAATTATATTTTATACTTTTTTAAAATACTTTTTTATTTGAGTATTCGAACTAAACTTAAACCCTGATCGGGCTTGGCTCAATTTTTTTGGCCTACTCGGGCCAGCCCAAATGGCCCAAATATAAAAAAATTATTTTTGTAGGCTCAATTTTAAATTTTTTCAGGCAGATTTGAGTTAACTTATCTGGCTTGGTCCGAGTTATCTGCTTTGCTAGTTTTCACCTCCCTTTAAAAATTATTTAATTTTTTTTATAAAAATTATTAAAATTGATTCTGGCACCTCATATTTTATTTTATTTAAAATTTTGTCCCCCATTTTCTTACACTGGATCCGTGCCTGCTAGTGGGGTCAATGTTAAAGATTCCATTTGTAATGCTGAAAAACAGAAATGTAAAGATTGGAATTAAACTTGTAATATGCTCTCTTCATTATTTTTTTATAAAAAAATATTACTTTTTATTATTTTTTTATAAGTAAAATTACCTATTTTAATAAGTATTTATTATAAATTTTTTAAATCATCCTTCATAATTTATATTAATAAAAAATAATTAATGCATACTTATATTGATTAATATAAGACATTTTAATTTAATTATTTTATTTTCAGACATAATTATTACGATTAATCAGTTTTTTTAAAATTATATGATATACTTTTTTTTCTCCTATATATATATAGAAACAGACGGAATATGTATGTATGTATGTATATATATATGTATGTATGTCGTACTAAACTCGACCACAATCGTAATATGCTAATATGTTTGTAGAGTGGCGAGTTGCTTGATGAATTAGTGAATTTGTGTCTGCTTGATAATGGTCAAGTGATGGCAATTGAATGTTGCAGTAAATGGCTAAAAAGCCGCATCTGTTGGCAGAAGCTTGTCTTCTCAAGTATCATTTCAGTTTTTTCATCATTTGTCTTCTCAAGTATAAATTTTTTAAATTTTATTGTTATGGATTTTTTATTAGCATTCAACGTGCAATTATTATAATAATTACTGTACTTTTATTTATAAAATAATTATATTAAATATTTAAGAAATTCAGCATTAAATTTATTTTAATAAATTTCACTTACATATGTTAGTTCTACATTTTAATTGTGAATAAAAAATTGTATTAAATAGCAATTTGAATTTTAAACCATAATTTCATGAAAGTTTATGATTTTAAACTTTTTTTCTATAAACTGTTTTCTTTCAATTTTTAAAAACAATATAATATAGTTAATACCATTAATAAAAACTAATTTTGATAATTAATTAATTACAAAATGATAAAAAATAACCTTAAAAATTATAGAAATTTCTTAGCTCTTTTATGTAATTTTTAAAGTTATTTTCTATAGTTTTTTTTATTCTTTTCTATAATTTTCTTGATTTCTGGTCAAGTAGGGGATAGAGTTAATTTTTATTAATGATAATATTATATTGTACTGTTTTTAAAAATTAATAAGGAGTGTTATCAAAAATGAGTTTAGATCTTGATGATCATGAACCTAGTTCTAAGGTCAGATTGCCAAATAAACCCAAAAAACTTATATCCATAGTTATATTGATTTTTTAATGACCACATATTTTAATAATGTAATTATATATAATTTCATAATCTAATTATTTTAAAAAGGAAGGAAATCTAGAAGGCTTGCTATTACCAAAACAACAAAATCCACCGAAGAGGCGAAGAGACAAGAGTGAAGTAATGATGAGCGAATCAAGTGAAAAACAGCCTTGTGTGAAGAAAGCAGAAGCACAAGACGTCGGTGATCTGTTTACTATAAAAAGACAGTAGTCACGGGCTCATTCATTCATTAATCTCTCACAGACTCGCATAGAAATATCAGCGATGGGGAGTTTTTCCTCTTTCTTTTTCTCATTGATTCTCTTGCTAGCACTCCCAATGAAGCCCGTGAGAGGTGCATCACTGTACGCAGAATCGAGGTGGGTGGTGAACGAGGGTGGAGAGAGAGTGAAGCTTGCGTGTGTGAACTGGGTGTCTCATTTGGACACTCCGGTGGCCGAGGGACTCCATAAACAGCCTCTTGATGTCATATCCAACAAGATCAAGTCCATGGGCTTCAACTGCGTCAGGCTCACTTGGCCACTTTATTTGCTCACTAACGATTCTCTCGCTTCCCTCACCGTGAGACGCTCATTTCAGAACCTTGGCCTCCTCGATGTCATTGCCGCCGTTCAAGCCAAAAACCCACACATTATCGATCTTCCCCTCATTAAAGCTTTCCAGGTACTTCACCAACCACCCACTTATTGTTTTCCGACTTTGCTTTTATGTTTTTTTTTTTTTTGGGGGAATTACAAGTGAGAATTTGAGCTAAAATGGCTAACCAAACAACTCATTCAAGAGTGCCTCGTCATCAATCACGCCTTCTAACAAAAAGGTGAGGATCAAGAGATTGAAACTCCCCTATTTTATTTGAATCATATTTAACCAAAAAATAAGCATAATAATTCGATTCCCTAAACATAAGATTCAAGGAAATATCCCTATCTCTGCTGAGGATGGAATGAACCTTTGTGATAACATCCACACACAGGTGAAAATCCTAATAGAGTCTGAGGGTGAGGTTTAAAACATCTGCATTGAAAAAAAGAAAGAACTACGTTGAAGTCTTATATAAAAAAATTAATTACTATAAAGTTCATTGATAACTGAATTAAACTGTATTAATACAGTTTATTTTAATTGTCAATAAATTTTATAATAATTAATTTTTTATGTAAAATTTTAACGTAACTCTCCCTTAGAAAAATTGTCCACATGGCATCTTTTCCTTACATATCCTTCAATCTAAATATCTATCGAATGGAGTAACGAATCAGTTGGGATCAATCTTCATTATTGTAGACCATTTAGATTTTTAATCTTGATGATAGATTTAAAAAATTAATTTAATATTTAAAATTTATAAAAATTATAAGAAAGTTTTAATGAATCTTTTCATGACTAATTTGGTCCATATTTAATTTGAAGGATTTAATTTAATATTAATTTTTTTTTATATTTTTTATATACTCATTTCCTTAAAAAATATAAGGCATTTTTAATCAAATCTTATCCCAATAAAGTAGGTACTTATCTTAAAACTAACTCTATCATTTTATATTTACTCCTATTTAATAGGATGTTTTACCCTAAAATAAATATAAAGTGAGGCAATAACTACATTTTGAAAGATTAAAAATGCTTTATATTTTTTAATATCTAACTCTTAAAAAATGTCTTATATTTTTAAACGGATAGAGTATTAACTATAAAGCTGTATTTTGTATGGTCTCAATTTAAAATTTTTAAGTTGTAATTTTTTTAAAAAGTTCTAGTTAAAAGATTGTATATTTTATTTTCTTAATATTTTATTTATCAAAATAAAAAATAAAAGCTTTAAATGTAGACTTTGCAATTAAAAATATAATATTAAATTTGAACTGTTCAGAGTACATATAAATAGTTAATTTAAAAAAATTATAATTTTAAATTGGACCACCTAAATTAGATCAATACTATTTAGATTGATGATGGACATACTTATCAAAAAATTTATAAATTTTTATTTTAATAAATATAAAATTAAAATTAAAAAAATCTAGGTCATCAAGGTTTAATCTGGCTTATGAATACTGAAGACGGACCCGTCAGTTCGACATGCATGGACAAAATATGTATTTGCCCGGATTTATTATCTGACCAATTAACCAAAAGCTGTACGCATGATCTTGATAAGATTATTATTTTTTTATTAGTTGTAAATAGTAGAATCTGCAGGAATTTTGTTTAAACAGAAAAACAAAGAAACTTATAAGAAAGATATTAGCATTCATATATATCATGTGGTGTCGGTATAAATGTCCAAATTTTATTGTGGGAACAGTTCGTAATTTGAAAGCGATGCAAGTGGTGCTTATACGCCACCCTAAAACATTAATAGGTGTGTGAGCTGTGTGAAATGTGAATTACTTTTCTATGAACATTAAATTATTGGAGGAAAAACAATGAGTTGTGGGAGCACTGATTTTTCCGGAACTGTTTGATACGGTGGATTACCGTGACGGACTTCAGTAGTGGGAGATTAATATTGATGGCGACAAGTGTTGCATTAACGAAGAATATAACATGTACGCAGCGGTGAATATCGGGAATGATAATGTCTGTCTCAGGCGGTGGTGAAAAATCTCGGGGACAACGACGTGATGGTGATTCTGGACAATCACAGGACCGAGCCGGGGTGGTGCTGCGGAGGCACAGATGGGAATGGCTTCTTCGGCGACGAGCATTTCAACCCTGACCTTTGGGTGGAAGGGCTCACCAAGATGGCCACCTTATTCCGTGGAGTTCCTCATGTGGTCGCCATGAGCTTGAGAAATGAGCTTCGAGGCCCCCGTCAGAACGTCCCCGATTGGTTCAAGTAATACCTGTTCACTACCTTCCTGCTTGTTATTGTCCCAGTGAAGAAAAAGGAATAATTAAGCCATCACATATTTCTTGTTTTTTAAGTAATTACACGGATAGCCATCACTCTTGTCACTGACTCGCAAATGAGCCGACACGTTAGGACAATATTATGTTCTGTGTAAGACATTACACTGATATATCAAGATTGTTCTGATAATTATATGGTGACGAAAGGTACATGCAAAGTGGAGCGGAGGCAGTGCACGCGGCAAACTCGGATGTTCTGGTGATTCTGTCGGGGTTAAGTTTCGACACGGATTTGTCATTCCTTGCGGGTCGGACAACGACTCTGACATTCAGCCGGAAACTTGTGTACGAGGCGCACTGGTACGGCTTCACAGATGGTCAGGTTTGGGTATCAACAAACCTAAACCAAGCCTGTGCCCGAATAACAGGAAATGTGATGAGACATTCAGGGTTTTTGCTGGGCAAAGGATTCCCACTGTTTTTCGGCGAGTTCGGGATCGACTTGACAGGCTCCAACCTCAACGACATAAGGTACTTCCACTGCTTCATGGCTCTAGCCGCCGAGCTTGACTTCGACGGGGCCTTGTGGTCTCTCGCCGGGGGCTACTACTTCAGAGAAGGAGTTGCTGGAACGACCGAGAATTATGGAGTTCTGGATGCAGAGTGGGCCCAGGTTAAGAATCCAAGTTTCTTGCAGAGAATCTCCTCTCTCCAAGTTCCTTTTCGAGGTCACATTCATTATTCAATTATTCAACAAGTTTCTTTAGTCTCCTCCTCAAATTTAGAAAGTGTTGTAACCAATGATGAGATGATGTAGGGCCTGGGGTATCGGGAGGCAGTCCGCATCAAGTGATTTTCCATCCACTGACGGGTCTCTGCGTTTCAAGAAAGTCGGGGCCTGAATCATTATCGCTGGGGCTTTGCTCAAATTCAGAGGGATGGAATTACACAAACCAGCAGATAGTGCCAATGAAGGATAGAAGCTCGTGCTTGCAAGCAGGGCAAGTAGGGAAGGCGGTGAAAGTAGCGGGAACATGCTCTGCTTCGGACTCGCGATGGGAGATGATCTCAGATTCTAAGATGCATCTGTCATCTAAAGTCAGCGACAATTCCACCGTTTGTCTGGACGTGGATTCCAACGACGTCATTATCACCGGTGCTTGTAAATGCTTGAGCACCGACTCAGCATGTGACCCCACCAGTCAATGGTTCAAACTCGTCGACAGCACCGGGCGTTGATTAATTAAACACTACTTATCCAACTCCTTCTCCTTGGTTATTATGCTGTGCCCAATTTAATGTAATCTCGGCATTACCTTTACATATCTGCTCTTTCTTTAGCCATATCCACACACAGTATCCCGTACCTATGATTTATATATGTGTTTGTATTCAAATTATGTATTTAGAGGTTCAAGCTAAATTCTAATTTAATTGGTTTTATAATAATTAAAGAAAATATTTATAAAATTTTAGCCACTAAGTTAAGATCATCCGTACTCTACCCATGATGAGTGATCATATTAGAGAAAGTGCTTTCTAAATTTAAGAAAACTAACGATCATGAAGTTTGGGAACAAAACTAAAATCATTTATAAATAGAGGAGCTCTTTCTCAATAATAGATATCAGTATTAACAAACTATCAGTTAAATTTCTAGATTTTGTGTCTGTTGCTTCATTTTATTTTTTATTTTATCACATAGTTTTAATTCTTATTCTTTTGTATGGCCAGCATAGCCCGTCACCTCTTTCTTTAATTAATGTATCTTTGCTTTCTTATATCTACGTTAATTTTCTTCACTTTATATTTTTACATCTGGGTGAATTGTGATAAGAGAGTCAAAATTTCCTATTTTTTAATTATAAATCAGGTTCTTCTATCTTTTTGAAACTCACATCTCTAGCACGTTTCGCGATATCACAATTTTTTTTGAACGAACAATGTGACATAACAATTGCGAGGTCAGATCAATTGTCTAAACCTGCCTTGTTCGCTCAATTCTCTGTGATGATCACCGAAGCTGAACCCTGTAATCCACGGCCGCTCTTGAACTTTGTAAAAAGCTCTATGGAGAACGGTTGAGGCCCGATCATCGACGCAAGCCATAGTATTGGGCGTCTGCTATTCTGAAATAGACAAGCGAAGATGAATAGTTCTAGGCGAGCTGTGGATATGTCCGAACAATGTAAATGGACGCAACCTGCTCTAGTGGGTAACTGGGTATGGAGAACAAATCTCTTCCCATGGACCACAGTGCTTTTCTTTTCGGCCAATTCTCACGGAGCTTAATTACTCGGACTTTTCTCCTTGATTGAAGTTTAAGTATTTATATCAAAATAAGTCTTATTTCGGGCCTTTGAAAATAAGCTCTAATTAAGTACTAACTGGAGCTGAAATCAGTGGGGTCAATGCGGCCAATTGTTTGAACAACTTCTTTGTGGAAAGAAAAGGGGTCAGCATGCTAGGCTAGAAAACTAAAAGCAGGAACGTTAATTAATTATCATCATTGTTGGTTATGAAAATGGATTGATTTTCAATTTGGTTTCCTTTTTCTCAGGTGGGGTGAGGACATTGGAAACAAGACCTATTAGCTCTTAAAGAACAAAGAACAAGTGAAGTTGTATTCTCTTTTAAAGGTGCTGATTTGTAATATTTCGAATAAACCTAAATGTGGTGGGACTAGAATCCTGTTGAAAATGGGTTTTTGTAACTTTTGAAGCAAAACTAATTTTTCTACATTATTTTTTACCAAGATCAACGGATTTTCAAACGCACACTAAGGATCTGACATCCCATACGTCCAGCGGATTCTCACACATGCATCACAGTGAAAAAATCGCCAGCTAGGCCAGAAAGGTTGCCTGTAAATTAGATGTAGGATGAAGATCACTTTCATTATAACCCTTGTTCCATGCCCCAAGGTTAAAAGGGAAGACGTTGTTCCCTTAGGAGGAAGGAAAATGTTTCTGGCGTGAATGCCACTATACTGTGCTGATTGGCAAATTGGCAATTGCTGCTATGCACACAAATATTAAGTCTGGCGTGATAGCGACAATGTAACAACTGTCTGACATGTTCCTATCTACTTTTTTCCAACCATCTAACTTGTATCTCAGCTGTGTCTGTGCCCTTTCCTTTATTTGCCCTTAGTGGGAAATTGAGAATAAAAACTAAAGGAATTATGGGACCTCAGAATAATCATGTTTCGCTATGTTTCACCCTTTGTCAAATTGTAGCTAGTCCAAGGGGAAAATATCTGCAGGAGCAGACCGACAGACCAATACTCTTTTTCTCTGGATGAAGAACATTAATAATCAACGGGCTTTATCATAATTCGAATAACTCTATGATCCTAGAGTAGCCTCAATTGAAATGATAATCTTTCTATGAAGGAAAAACATCTGACGCCTTAGTTCTTCCGGTATTTTTTTTTTTTAAAAAATCAGTGTAATTTCATTAGAGAACTTTTAAAAGGAGAAAAATATTTCATATGTTTATGGAATTTAGGTGATCTAGGAGATTTTGTTCTTGATGAAGTATCTTCCTCATCAATTAAAAAAACATTTTTCAAGGACATTTGAACCCCTCTTTGCCCTGACTGACCCACTCTTTTAGGGATTCTGCTATAGAATGTTTTGTACTTTTATGTACTGTACATGTTCTTCATAAACTCTTCTTTGCATCCCATATTTCAGAGAGTTGCTGGTCAGCATGATTTTGCTTTTATTGCAGAACCATCTCTATCGGTTTCAGCCATGAATAAAATAAGTACACCTACAATCGATAAAGTAAGGATGTGGCTTAAAACATGCAGAGCAATGCCGTGTGAAGAACATACTTTGTCAAGGGAAATGAAAGAAAATGGATAATTTTTCTTTTCATTAGGTGCAGTGACAAAGGCCTCACCCTTAAGAGGATAGGACAATATAATTTTAAAATTAATAATCAAAAAGTAATGTTATAATTTTTTAAAACTTATTACGTCAAGCAAATAATATAATAACATAAGTAAAATTATACTTATTTTTATTCAGGCAAAATATATTGACATTTTTTTATCAAAAATATATTGAGAAGGTTAATATAAAGTTTAAATTTGAACCCCCAAATATTTTTTATTAAATCTAGAGAATTTAAAATATCAAAAATATAAGGTGTAGGGTTGTAAATTTTTCATGTTATACATGTAATTTTTCTTGTGTGAAGGTGCATTTGCCCCCCTTAAATGAATGTGGCTACCACTTAGTCATATGTGCGGTTAAAGTTGTTTTTTGGGTAACATTAAAGCTTGTTTTAGTTAGAATGTAAGTTTGAGTTACGCTCACAAAATTTAAATGCATCGCAAGTGTACAGATTAAATGTAGTATAGTGAATTACAGTTATCTCACATATAACTAATTAAAAGGAATTGAGTATAAACAAAAGTTGTTTCATCTCAATTAAGTTATCTAATCAAAGAGTGAAGTTTTTATTAAATTAAAAATACAAATAAAGTCAGAATATATTTGGGGTAAGATGAACAATTAAAGAGCACCCTAAAAATTCTAATCTCCTTTTATACTTTGCAATTTAATTTCTTCTAATTATCATATTTTAATTTAACTTTAAAATTAAGGCTCTAAATTAGATTATATATCTGTTGATTACAAAATCCTTGATCTAACTATAGTTTTATACTTTGACATCTTTAAAAAGTCTTGATCCAATTATGTGTGAGCCTTTAAAGATTATCTAAGACTATTGAATGTATGTTCATCTGAAGTGCAAATTGAATTAATTCTAATCTTATATTACTTAACAAACAATCTAATTGAGACTCTTTTTTAAAAAACAAAATTCAAAATCTACACACATTAAAGTTGGCTCGTCCAATAGCATGAAAACAAAATAAATTGTATTAAGTATTAAAACATACATTAAAATCAATAACTAAAAAAAATTATACTTACAAGGCATTAGAAATTCATTGAATTCTTAAGGATAAAAGAAAACTAGTCACTCATGTTTTTAAATATGCAAAACAATTCAAATTCAACATAAAGATAAAAACACATAGAAAAGAATAGAAAAACTTCACAATATTTGCTCAAGAACCATTCAATTATCTCTCAATTTTTAAGAACATTTCTTAAACCTTAGTTCATGCTTTAAAATTGCCTTCTCAATTCCATATATATACTTTGATCCTTTTGGAAATTTGCAAGAGCTTTATTTATAATTTTTTTGTGCCCTTTTAACCTCTAATTTTCATCTTATCTTATTTGATAAGATTTTCTTTAATTTTGCATTTGAATTTTAAAAAGCTTCTACCATGCGTTTTTTCCTACGTTTGCGCATAATCATACCACTCTTCTCCATGTCCGTGTGCGGTCGAACATCATGTGAGCCATTTCCGCGAATGTCATGCCTCACCGTATTCATGCGGTTGAATTTTCTTCATACTATTTCCATGCACTGTCGAGCTTCCAAAGGGTGGCTTTCTTCGTGTTCAATATGTTTGTGCACAGAGAACCTAGCTTCATTGCTTGTCTGCGGGCTGAAAACTCTTTTTGGACTTGTTTCTTGGGCTTTGATTTGTTATTTATCATTTTTAACTTTTTATGTTTTATTTTCGTTCCTTTTTCCTGAATATGCCCTAAAATCATTAAGTGAGGTATTTTATCTAAATTTCTATCAATTTACATGTTAGTTAACAAATAAAAGAGCAGAAAATTTACACATTAATTTTATGTAAAACTAGCGTGTGACCCGTGCGATGCACGGGATGTGAAAATTTTAAAAATAATTTTAATAAATAATGATATTTACTTTAAATCTAGAGTAAATTGTCTTTAAATAAAAATAATTAACTCATAAATTACATTTAGATATTTTACATAAACCAAAATTTAATAATATCACAATGCATCATGATAAAAGCCATAGAACACAACTTAATGCCTTATTCAATAATTTGTGTGACTCATCTCTTATCTCAAGAACTCAATCTCTATTAATATTATCAACCACAAAAATAAGAACCTGTGTTCTAAAAGCAATGCCTCCATAATCCATAATGGACAAATTCATATATTTAAAGTAAGTAATGAAATTATAAAATGCATTTATAAGGATTTTATTTTCCAATACACTAAGAACTTATAACATATATTTCACTTATACCAATATGATTATGAGTGAGCCTCAAAATCACAACTACTCAATTCAATCTTACTTCTCATTCGATAAATCATCTCATGCTTTATCTTTTTTTCAACTTGCTCTCCTAATTTGAGAGCCTATCTAGAAAGAGTTAAAATCAATATTAAAGCAATAATGATTTTTATCAAATAAATTGATTTCATTTTTGATTAAAAAAAACCTAATGAGATGAAACTTTTTCTCTTAGAACATCTTAAATTGAGTTGGCATCCAATGTGACAAGAGAGACAACTTGATATGTTGTTGAAAAACTTGATATTTGAGTATCAAAGAATTTTTCTTTCTGTTGAAGTACGAAATTTAGGTATTCCATTCTCATTCTAAAAGTCTATCTCTCCGTAATTTTTCCCAACAATTCCTCTTGTAATGGCCTTATTGTACTATAACCTTAAAGCTTGTTGTATAAACGAAGTGAATAGTTATTAAAAAACATACGATTCTTATAATTAAGTATATGTTGGGAAAATTACTCATGAATATGGCATAGAATGAATAGAGCATAGAATGAATATTTCGTTGAGGAAGCTAACCTTATTCACATCATGCTTTATCAAAATAATATTTGGGTCTCCATATGCATTAATCATGTCGCTAAGAAATTAAGAACATCATGAGAAGAACTTGAGAGTATCCCTTCTCCAAAACTTCCCAACGTTTCGAACAATATTAACAACTTGTCCACCTTTTCTACATATCAAAACATGGTTTGCAGCTTTTTCACTACCCTCTCACCCTCTTCACACAAAAACCATCACAACTTGGTGTGCTTTATGACTTTCATCTTGTTACTCATATTCCTTTAAATCCTACATTCATGCTGAGGAAGGAGAGTAAATATAGAAATGATGATGAGGGCAAATTACCCTTTAGTTTTTGTGTCTTTTATATAAAAAAAAAGTTAGCATTTTAAAAACTGAATGTGGGAGTAGCATGTGATGGTTGCATTGAAAGTAAAAGTGAAGTTTGAAAGATATGATAGTGGGATAGTTTTCGGGTGGAGGTACTAGCCATGATAGCAGAGAAAATTTCGGGGTATTGGGGAAGTTATAATGTTTGATTATTTTTATTTTTTGTAAATTTAAATAATATTAAGGAAGTTATGATTAAAGTAGATATATTGTTAAATTTGAAAAATCAAGAGAAATATCCTGAAAATTTAAAACATATAAATTAGATTATTTTATAAAAAGATAAGTAAAATTGGATGTAAAGGAAGTTATAATGTTTGATTTTAAAAAAAAAAAATTCTTCATGGTGGATACTTTTTTAATATATTTTAAAAATCTTAAATTTAAATAACATTTAGAAAGTTATGGTTAAAGTGGTTAGATTGTACAATCTGAAAATTAGGAGAAATATAAGAAATCTTTAAATATATAAATTACCTAATTTTATATAACATAATTAAAATCGAGTGTAGGGAGAGTTATAGTGTTTGATTTTTTTATTTTTCTAAATTTTTTCATGGCAGATACTTTTTCATATATTTAAAAATATTAAATTTAAATAAAACTTAAAAAGTTATGATTATTTATCTATTTAAGAAGTTAGGAAGTTATGATTAAAATGAATAGATTGTGAGATTTTAAAATTTAAAAAAATATAAGAAAATTTAAAATATATAAATTAGATTATTTTATATAACATTATTAAAGTTTGATGTGGCTATTTAAAATCATAGTATTTTGTAAATTAAACATGTGTCAAACTTAGAAGGTAAATTTATATTATTCTATATTAGAGTGATAAAGTAAATATAATAAAAATGACTATTAGATTTTATTAATCTTGATTTTAACTATTAGATAACAAATTGCTTGCAGTCATAATATATTTTAGTAATAATAAAATAATTTATTTTGGTAAAATATAAATGGAGAGTTGAGACGTTTGGAGATAAAATAGTTTTATCTATTCTAAAATTTAAAATAAAAAAGTAAAAAAATGTAAAATAGCCGTCAGGGACACATCACATGTATTTTTATTAGATATTATTTATGGTTTTACTTTTTTAAAAAGTTGAGATAACGAGGAGATACTTAAAAATAAGATAGTTTTATTTGTTTTTTAAAAATTAAAAAAATAGATGAAAACAAAATTAAGGACGCATGTCTTCTTTAGATGCTCCTTACTGTTATACTTTTTTAGGAAGTTGAGATAATGGGGAGATATTTGAAGGTAAGGTAGCTTTATCTATTTTTAAAAATTAAACATTTAAAAATAAATTTAACAACATATAATTAGAGATTTGTGAAAATAAAATTAGAGACACATATCTTCTTTAGATGCTCCTTACAATTATACTTTTTTAGAAAGTTAAAATAATGAGGAGATATTTGAGGATAAATTAATTTTATCTATTTTTAAAAATTAAATATTTAAAAATAAATTTATCAAAATATAATTAAAAACATGTGTCGTGGGAAGATATTGTTTGTGATTCTATTTATATATATATATATATATATATATATATTCATTTATCATTGAGTGAGCTACAATCCAACGTGTTTGTATTGCTAATCACGATGAATAAAGTAACGCTTTCATTTTCTTCGTCTTCGGTATTTCCTTTCCCTTCAATCTTGTGTCATGATTTTGGCTAAAATCTCGTGTCATAATTGGAGAAAGAGAAAGTTCAGATCAATATTTAATACTACTTTTATTAAAAAATAAAACATATTTTTTAAAAAATTAAATGTTAAAAAATATAATATATTTTTAATCTTTTAAAGTATAATTATTATTTTTTAAAAAAAATATTTGCATTAAATAAATTATTTTATATTTTTTTTAAAATAAAATCAAGAGTGAACATTTGGCCGATTTAGTTCCAAATTTTTCAAAATCAATTGATTGATTTACACAAAAAATTTGAATTAAATTGAATTAAAATACTTGATTAAATGAAATTAAAATCAAACTAAATTATAATAGTTTGATTCAATCTATTTATTCAATTTATGAATTTTGATTTGGGTTTATAGAGTTTAATTATTCATATATTCTTTTATCTATTTTTTTCTTTGATACTAAAGGCCTAATAAAAAAATGATAATAATCTTAGATCATAATTCATGAAAAAATTAATAAGGCTCAGTACAATTGCATTAAAAACTAAATTATAAAAATAACAAAATATCACATTAAACAAAAAAAAATACTACTATTACAAGTGATAGAAAATGTTCCTTGCTCATTTAGATGAGAATTTATTCACCTTTTTAAACATATGAAAAGAGAAATATGTAAAATTCAGTCGATTCAATTTATTTGGTTCAAAAATTCTAGACCAAATTGAGCTGATTGATCAAAATTATTATTAAAAGAAAACCGAATCAAACTATATAACTAAATAGACCAAATCAAATAGATTAAATTCATTTCAATTCGATTCGATTTTTGGTTTCGTTTTGGTTTTGTTTACCCTTAGGTGAAACACTTTATTATATAAGAGTAAATATGAAAAGATGAGATTAATTTAAAAATAAATAATTACTTTATTAAAAGTAGGAGTGATCCTACATAGTGGCCAATGCAGGCAAATGCCTCCCAAAATGGAAAAAATTACATGAATGGATATGATAAATTTTGCATGCCCCCACTCATTTTTATTTTTTGAACCTACTGAAATATAGCTTAAATCAAACCCTTATTAAAACCTTATATTGAAGAAATTGCCTCCATTGACTCAGAATCTTAAGTCCGCCACTGATTAAAAATAAGATTTGATTAAAAATATTTTATATTTTTAATTGGAGGGAGTATCAACAATCTATTACACCTGTCTTATTTTGCTCTTAACCTGCAAGTGTACAAATTTAATGGGTTAGTGTTCCGCCCTCAGGTCGAAATTCTTTAATTGGTTCTCACTTGTATAGGTGGACCCAAAGGAATTTGAAGTCTAAGAATAAAAAAAGAAAGAGAAAAAAGCAAAAGCTTATGTCAGAAACATTTGCCTTTTTTTTTTTTTAACCCTCATTAGCATGAGCAATGAGGGTTAAAGCGAAAAAGCACAGACTGATGGAGCTTAGAGGAGACAATAATGGTTAAAGCGAAAAAGCAGAGACTGATGGAGCATAGAGGAGACAATAATGGTCCCCATTGAACACCATAACCTGTTAAAGCAAAAAAGAAGCAATATCGGCCTGCTTGACCTTCACGTAAGCATATAATATAACAGAAGAATGTCTGCAAGTAGAACATTGAAACAATTCATTAAACCATGAATTTCCTTAAAAGCCAATCTCTCTGCTCGCTTTCAAATTCAAACATACAGGATGACATTTTGATGAAAAAGCTCCTCCTTACACATGATCCAGATGGTCGTTGGCTGGATTCTGAGACAATGCTTCATGCAGTGGGCAACATCATGTTTCATGCTTCTACAACACAAGTTTAGCGTTATAAGACCTCTCATGTATTGCCTGTATTTAAGTTTTCAGGTTATGATTTTAATTGGCTCCTTTTCTTGTTTCAGGGGGTTCCGAGTTTACATTTTACCTCCCTTTCGAAGGATGATATATACGAAATTGAATTGCTTGGTTGTGCCGAACCAGTTGGAAGCATCATCAGTAAAATTTCATGCATGGTATCAACTACATTGATGTATATATGAAACTCCATCCAAAAAAATAATAAATTTTCTATTAATTTGATTAGCAGATAATGTCCAAATGCTCTGTGGAAGGAGACATCAATTCAAAAACCATGGGTTTGTTCGACTTGTTAGGGAGCTACAGATGGGATGCTAAAGTTGTTCTCGTTATTGCCGCTTTTGCTGCAAAATATGGTGAATTCTGCGGACTCATGCAGCTATACCAAAGCAATGCATTGGCGGTTTCAGTTACGAGGCTTAAGCAGCTACCCGTGGACTTAAGGTCGCTGAAACCTCGACTTAAGGCATTGAGCTTGTTGGTTAAGACCATGATGGAGGTGGCTAAGTGTATCATCAAGTTTGAATCTCTTCCAAATCTATATACAGAGCTGGGCAGTGACATCCTCCATGTAACAAAATTCCATATTTACGTAGCTGTGTACTGGACCACCAGAAGTATTTTTACTTGCTTTTCTCAAGTCGCAGAGTTCACAACCAAGAAACATGAGCAAGTGCATGTTCTACTCCTATCCCTGCAATTGACTTTACATCAATTATGTTACACACCGAAAATTCTATTACCTTTATAGTTTCGTCCGGTTTATTTAATAAGCAAAATCAACGGATTAGATTGAACTAGGGATGCTGTTTTCATGCATTTAGTTGTTTCAGGTATTCTGATTCAACAATACTTGCAGCCTGGGAGCTTTCAAGTCTGGCTTATAGATTAAGCAGCATATGCAACATTCTCAAAGGGCAAGTGGATTTGTGTCACCAAGAAATAGGTTCCCTTTCAACTTCACAAGACCTCTTATAAATGGGGCACTTAGCTGTCGATTCCGCTTTATTTGCTTATATCAGCTCTGTGGCTCGAATTTTCAGGGAGAAACTTGCATAACAGGCTACTGAGTCTCGCAGCTGAGGTCCAAAATGATAATCAAGGATTTCTCAGTTTATTATTTCCAGTGAAGGATTACTTGCCACTTAAGGATTGCTCAACCCAAGAAAAGGTAATCTGCTCAATCATACTCATTTGTTTCCTCAGATTTTTTTTTTTTTTAAACAAAGAAAAGGAACTTTGCTCAGCAACTAAAACTTTCTAATTTTGAATCTCCTTTCACCAACAGATTGGTGTGTCTGAATTAAAAAATAAGATTGTTGTGTTGCTGATCTCAAAAACAGAGCAGCTTACGCTGGAGGAATCACTCTTGTTGGTTCAGCAAACATATGATCATCCTTTGAGTGAGAGAGACAGCTATAAGATCATCTGGGTTCCCCTTCCATCTTCTGATGAGTGGACTGATGCTGAAGAAACTCGTTTCAATATTCTATCAGAATTCTTGCCTTGGTATACTGTTCGGAAGCCTAGGCTACTCAGCTTAGCAGTAGTGAAGTATGTCAAAGAAGAGTGGAACTACAAGGAAGAGCCCCAAATGGTAGTCCTAGATTCAAATGGAAATGTTATAAATTCAAATGCAATTGATATGGTCAAAATATGGGGACCTCAAGCTTACCCCTTTTCGGCTTCAAAAGAGTCAGAGCTCTGGCAAGATGAGAATTTGACAATGAGGCTACTGATAGATGATATCAACCTTTTGCTTGCTTATTGGGTATGAATCTGATTCAGACCTTATATTTACTAACATGGAAGGCGCTAACATTTGCATTGTGTCAGGTTGAGGAAGGCAAAGATCTCTGCCTCTACGGGTGTGACAACTTGGGGTGGATTCGAAAATTCAATGGTAAAATAGAGGAGCTCAAACGACAAGGTCTGCAGCTGGAAACCGTATATGTTGCAACGAGCCAGTTAAGTGAACATGTAAAAGAAATAATGGAAACACTTGCAAATGAATTTGATCCCAGTAATTTACTTCTATTCACAAAATTACAATTCTTTTGGCTTCGACTGGAGAGCATGAGAAGATCAAAAGTCAGACTGGGAAAGACAAGTTCTGATCAAGTGCTAGCAGAGTTGTCTGCGTTGTTAGACATGAACGAGAAAAATGAAGGTTGGGTGGTGATTGGAAGAGGGAGTTCAAGTGACATCACAAGGCTTCAAGGAAGGCAGATAATAGAATGCCTGGAGAAATATGAAGAGTGGGGAGATAATGTGGAGGCATTGGGATTGGTGGGTGCCATTAGGAATTTCCTACAACCTCCACTAGTTGAAGGGCCTTGCAGCCACTCTTACTTGGTTCCCTCTTCTCAAGCTCAGGTTGGAGGAACTGTTGTTTGTGATGTCTGCAAGCGAACAATGAAGAAGTATGTTGTCTACGTGTGAAAACTGAAAGAAGTATGCTGGATTGAAGCTCATTCAATCTACAAGTCCTCTGAGCATGTTGCTTTTTTAAAATTAGTGCCTGAAAACAAATTCAAAACTTTTAAGTTTAAATCTCACTAAAGGCTTAAATTATATAACTCTAAATCTTGAAGCATCTCATATATCTCGAATAATTGGGTTATCCCAGCGCAATCCTGCACGGAGATAGAAACTTAGTCCAGAAAAGAAAAAGTAATCAACCCAACCCCCTATCTGCTTATGTCTGTGGTTATTACTAGGAAATCAGTGAACGCGTGCATTAGATCAAATAGGTATTCACTTCCTTCCAAACCCTAGTACCCGCATACCAATTTGAGAAAGTACTTTTGAATTAAGCTTGCATTTATGACGATGGAATGTCTTATCCTTTGCCTGAATATGTCAGCTTCGGAAAATTTTCAAGTAATATTTCTTTCGAAATACAGAGATTTATCAGCTAATCACATGTTAGCTAAAAAGATTTTAGTTCAAAATTAGGTGAAATTTGTTATTAAGTTTCAGTGATGTAAGATCAAAATCTTTTTAAGCCAAGCTAACAAATCAAGATAACGAAAAGTGGCCTCAAATTCACATCCCTCATCATCTCGTTCGTCTTTTGCAGTTTGAATGAGGCAGCCGTTTAATCAAAGCCACTGGCCCTACAAGCAAAACAGCACACTTGCATATATCCTACAGACCATAAAATTGAAGATTGGAGGAAAGTTTTATCTAACTTGATCACTATTAATTGCATCTTAAGTTTGCAATTTATATGGAACGCGCCAGATTGGAACGTCTTTCCCAGGATTAATATACTGCGAGTTATGAACAAAAATGTACCAGGAGACAGGTAGCATGGTGCAGCAAAAGAGAATTGCCCCACGCTGTTTAAAACTGGCAACATTGTTAATATATGCTTCGGAAACATGAACATTTCCCACTCTTGTGCAGGGAGAGTTCACCAGTAAGAAGCAACAATCCGAACGCTATAACCAAAACGAACAATAGAATGGCACAACACGACCGTATCATAAACAACGAGCGTCAAGCAATTCGTAGTTGCTTTAAGAATAAGGCCGCTGTTGGATTTGATTTACGCTTTCGTTGACGCGTCCTTCTGCAATTGCAAAACAAACAGAGAACGCAACGCCTATCGAAAGCAATTATTCAGTTCAATTTCATTCAACAAACAAAAATCAATCACATTAAATTTACCAGCAACCCGGGGGCTAAATACTCGAGCCCCTCTCTCTATCCCCACCCCACTCACATATACCAGACTGTCACCCCTCGGCGTTAGGGTTTTAAGAGGCAACGCATCCTTGCTCGGCTCGCTTTATAGACCGCAAAACAAGGCCCCAGCTCGAGATTAACCTTTATTTGTTGTCACACTAACGATAATGCCATTCAAGCGAGAACTCTTTTTGGGCCTTGAGCCCATGGTCCACAGGCTTTTTTTTTTAACATGACCCGATCCATTTAACTGCAGTAGTTTTCTTTATTTCCCAGATTTCTCCTGGTTTCTCTGATTTAGAGGATTGACAATCTGACCCTGCAGTGGTGCGTAAGAGGGGAAACAGATCGAAGCAGAGGAAGATGGTGAAGGTTTCAACGTACTTCGCAATGTCGCTGGGAGCTTTCTTATTTTGGCAGTCCATGGAGAAGGTCCATGTCTGGATCGCTCTTCGTCAGGACGAAAAGGTTTGTTCCACTTGCTTCACATTTTCTTTGCCTCTATAATAAATGCCTCTCGTCTTCTAACTCGTTCGAATTTTCATCTTCCCAACTCTTATTTGATTCTCTGCTATTGATTGTCCCCATCAGAAAACCCTAGACTTCGTGCCGCTTTAATTTATATAACTTTGCATTTGGGCATCTTGTATGTTAATATGTGCCTTCCGTAATTCCCGATTAGTTTCCATCCATTTATTTTGATGCGTCAATTGAAATTAGATCGGATGAACTTGTTTTCCTGGAAATCATCTGAACTTGACATTCTCATTCATTCTAATTACCTATTTTATGGTGTTTCGCTATCTTAATTTTCCCATATATTTGGAAAATTGTGTATAAATTTTTGAAATCGACCTTGGTGTGTGTGTGGAAAGTAAACTTTATACAATCCAGTGTTTGATCTGCCCATTTGTGTCAAATTATTGCATTTCACTTCAATTTTCAGTATTACATTACATCATTTACTTTGTTTGCAACAGTTCTGAAAAATGTGCAAAAATCTTTGCGACTATTCTTGTGAACTAAATTCCATCCCTTAGAAGCTGCCTCTGTATTTTCTTTTGTAGAAAGAGAGGTTGGAGAAGGAAGCAGAGATCAGAAGAGTGAGAGAAGAATTATTACGGGAGCAGGCCAACCAGAAGGATTCCCTTGCATGAATATGATGTGATTTTGTCGGCATTTTTTTCCCTGCTCTTTGTTTTTTCAATGCAATGTTCTGCTCAAATACAATTCGTTGCTCATAACAACATCAACTCTATTCTGGTGGTGGCTGTCCATCATTGTCCTTGAGCTTGACACAAGAACCTGTTTCGTAAAATACTACTTATCATGAAAATATGACCGCGTGTTGCATTTCATTTCCTTTGATCTGTGAGCACAATATGTGTGTGTGATAAAGCCTCTTTTAACAAAAATTACTAGTTATGAACTCGTGATGGTAACTTCCTGTATAGATTCTGTTCATCATAGATTAGTTTAGCCGCAGATCATGTATTGAATTGTCTGAATGGAAAGTCTCTTCATTTTATTGGCTGTTAAGCAAATGTTCCGCGTGTCTGAATTTTTCTTTTGACGATGGCATTATTGCAGTCATATGGGTGACTGCTTGCAGAATATTTCATTGGCAATATTTGTGATTTGTGATTCTTGATTGTTGTTGTTTGTTTAGTTAAATATGTTATGTTAGGGTAATTAGGCTAGGGACTCTCGTAACTGTGTTGGGCTTGGTCACTTAATAGAAAAACTATCCTAAGGTCTTATTTGATTGCTAGAAAAGAAAGGAATACTATAGCATGGGTTGCAAAAATAAAAGTAAAAAATAAGATGATCAAAATGTGAAGGGGTAGGTAAATTATATTTATAAAGGAGAAGGGTAATTTAATTTATGACACTGTGAGTTAAAATTCATGAAATTTTTTAAGGATATGATAATTTTTACATTCGTCGTATATAATATTGAGTTTCATCTTACTTACAAGGAACTTACAATGAAAGGGAAGGGTGATTTAATTTATTTGTAATTTGATTTTTATAATTCTTTCCATTTTTATCATTTATAGCAACCAAATATGACCTTATAGGTGTTTTGTATTGCAACTTTTCGCTGTTCATGCTATATGCAAAAGGAACGAGCGAAAGTTGTATCATTTGCGGCCTTACAATTAGTCTTTTGGCCACATAGAACCTCGACTTTCTTTCTGTCGGGAAGGTGTATTGAGACTGAAGTAACTTACGTGTTGCTAATTTGGAAGCCAATGCGTGCAACGGGGCAGCATGGAAGAAGACTAGTATTGTTGGGCAAGTTAACACGAAATATGGAAAAAGGAACGGTTCCCTTTGGGTTGGCGTGCAAAAGGACATAAAGTATTTGTGAATTTTTATTTATTTATTTTTTAATCTGCTCCGCCCAATTTAATAGATAACTGAGGGCGGATTCTATATCTTTTTATTGACTTATTTGATTATTATTCAATGAAAATCAATATTACATATTAACTCTTTTAATTATATCTTTATGGAAATGTAGATCAGGACAAGTAAGCAGAAACAGAGGAAGTATTTATTTATACATGCATTTAAAATTATTTTTATTTAATTATTACATCATCAAATCAACTTTTAATATAGCAAATTGAATAATGAATAATGAAAATGGAGATCTATTAACTTTTATGGTTGGATGCTTGGTTTGGTTTTAAAAACATTGATAATGTAATAGTGAAAATTAGGGGAGGTATTTGGGTCAATTTGCTTGGTTAAGTCAAATCATTTACATCTCTAGAATTGAGATTAATCCACTAATAAAGGTAGCTAAGTGAAAAAAGGATAACATACATAGGAAGAAATCCTTTGGAAGGTGAAGCAACGCATGGGATGGCATTTCATGCAATATTTGGGTGTAAAGCAAACATGGGAGAGGCAGGCGGGCCAATGAAGTTTGCTTTATTTTCAAATACAACCGTCTGCCAAGTGCCAGTTTCTCAAGCGGACGTTGTTGTAGTCATAGAGATGGCTGGTAAGCTATACGGGTATAATTTATTGGGGGTATATTTATAAGTGACATTTTAAAATATTTATTTGATTTTATTTATAAACTGTGATGTAACTTTTTAAATAAATTTTGAAATGTATTTTTAAAATTATCTTTTGTGAAAGAGAAAAGATGACATGAAATTATTTTTAAAATTTGTTATATTAAGATATACTTGAAATTTTACACACTTTTATTTTTTTATAATTTTTTTATATTAATATTAATAAAGTTGATAGAAATGGCTTAAGTGCATGTTTGGATTAAATTCTAACTTAAGTTGAGATAGCTCTAACTTAAGTTGGGATGTTAAACGTTCAATTTATCATATTTGGATAACAAAAAAAAATCAACCATAATTAGGGTCCAAACCAGCGTTTTTAACAAAACTCATTCATTTGGCTTTTCCATTAGCAGTGCATTGGGGGGTAGATGACTGTTGAGAGCTTAAATGCTTTTTGAATTTTTGTTCTCTCTCTTCTTTATCTGCTATCTACAGATCTACGCCAGCCATGTTGTCCCAAACCTCATTCTTCATTGCTGTTCCCATGGTTGCTCTGGCTTGCCCTTCACTTTCCCAAGTCTATCGAATCTGACGAGAGATCACAATTGCCGCCACCGACACCCGATCTCCACCGTGTGTGTTGCTCGCACTGAGTTGCAGTGCTATCATCCCTACTTCGAAGTGTGGCTCCCGACCTCCACCTCCTCCGTCGAAATGAAACATAGAAGATCTTGAAAGATCCTAATGAAAGGGCGAATCTAACACATGCTAGAAGATGAGGCTGCGGGGATAATGAAATGAAAATGGGAAGGTGAAGGGGGCTGGGTCCCACCATTTTTCCACTTCTTCTTCTTAAATGTTCTTTTCTTAATTTTCTTTTTTTAATATATAATTCTTACGTAATTTTAAAAATAATATTTCATGATTTTATAAATAATCAAATTATCTCCTCATAATTTGCTATCATTTCTTAATGCTCCCGTAAAATCCAAAAGAGTATAACTCTTAATATTTAGATGATTAAAAATCTTTTTAGTGAAAAAACAAAATATTTTTTAATCCTACTTAATCTTATTACTATTACTATTACTACTATCCAATTATTTTTGTTTTAAAAAAATCATGACTAGGTATTATATACTTAAAACTTAACTCATTTTGGTAAATTCTCTTTCAAATAATTATCTAATAAATTTCAATTATCATAAAACAATTCCACGAGATCAATTTGTAGATCATATCAATTAAATATTTTATAATTTATGAATTTATTTTAGCTTTTTATTATTGAATATTTAAGATTTTTCACCTATTAATTGTAATTTTAATTTTATTATTTTTTACTTTTTAATTAATAAAAAATATACATACAAAAAATTATATTTATCTTTATTATTAGATATCTTAACTGGCTTTTGAATTAAATCATCCAAACAAATTTATGTTTATCTAAGTGAATTTTTTAAAAAAGACATCCAAATATAAATCACATTACATTAACTAACTTTTTCTCTAATTTTAATTTACTAACCTCAATTAAATTCTAAATTAAGCTGTAAATTTTTTAATTTAAATACACCCTGAAAAAGAGGATGAGTATATGCTCTTTCTCAGCTCGTTTAGAGGTGTCAGAATAGCACTTTGTTTTGGATCAAAGCAAAACTAACAACTAGTTGAAGGTTGGAAAAGCCGACATGGAAGAGCATTTTTATATATACTCTTTCTGCTTTTTATGATAAAATATTTTTAATTATCTCATCAAAATTAAAGAAAGATGGTAAAGTAATTAATTTTATTTAAAAATAAAATAAATTTTAATTTTAATTATATGCCTATTTAAATAAAAATTTTCAAATTTACTTTATATTATCTCACATATTTAATGAATTTAAATAGAATAATATTGGAAAAATGTAATTAATATCTCATTAAGTGTCCAATACTCTTTCCTTCTCAAATTATAAAATGTTTTTTGAATAAAATCTCATTAAATACATTTAATAAAATTTTTTTAAAAATAAAAATATAAACTTTTAAAAATGACTTTCATTTAATTTATTGAAAAGGAAAAAAGACAAAAATTAAATAGAAAGAGAGAAAGTGTAATATTAGAATGAGTGTATTTAATAAAATATTGATCTTCTTAAAGTATTTTATATTTTGAAAAGTCCAATATCTTCTAAAAGTGTTTTATAATTTGAAATGGAAGGAGTATTAAATATCATAATGTTTTTCTAGAAAACAGTCTATAATAGCAGGCAGGGATCAAAGAAAGTATTCAATTATTTAATTTAATTTATACAGGCAGACGCTTATTTATTTTGGCCATCATGTACTATTCAGTGCTCCCTCTATCTCAAGTTATAAGGAATTTTTGAAGAAATTTCTTTATCATAAAATATAAGATACTTTGAATAGATTAAGGTTTTATGAAATGCATCAATTTAAATATTATCTTTTTTTATATTTAATTTATGTCTCTTCTCTTTTTAATATATTAAATGATGGATAATTGGGTATCTTTGAAAATTTATATTTTTGTTTTGAAAAGATAAAGTTGTTAACTGTATTTAATTAGATTTATTGATATGTGAAATTTTGTCTAAAATTTTTTTATAATTTAAGATGAAAGGAATATTATTTAACAGGCGAATTTCTTGATAATTATTAAAGAAAAAACTTGGTCTTGATATAGAAAAGCAGCGGCAGGGGTATGATAACCACGAATGGACCGATAAGTTACTATGAGCCACAAGGGCAACCTAGCTAAATGATTTTTAGAACTCGGAAAGCTGCTTTAAAGCATTATATTTTTCCCCGCGAAAAGTGGGTGGATGGTTAAAGGCAGTATAACTATAGACGTGATTAATTATAACTATAGACGTGATTAATTACTCAGCATACATTACATAACAATTCGAAGTTTATCGAAATGTCACAGCAGAATTAAACTATGAGCAGCAAAGTCAATGGTGCGCAATGGCATTTGTGGTCCTGTTTGGAATGCAATATACGCATACATATGGCGTGACGTTAGTCCCACCAGCAAGCAGCTATGCATAATATTGATAATTGAATGCGTAGTAGAGTAACCAAATGCGTGGAGGACACTGGGAAAGTTGTTGCTGGCAACATCCCAAGGTAGCTTATTAGTACGAACTCGTTCAATTTCCGTACAAGGAACAGAAAATGTGGGAATCATACTGCTATGATGGGATCAGTGAAAGCAAGAAAAAAGCACTAAATCGCAGACGGAATGATTTGCTGTCCCTGCACTCTAATCTAACTGAAGCATGCATATCTATGATCTATCAACCACCCTAGTCTAGTGCAGACGAAGATTCTGTCTAATCTCCAACTTCCCTTCGTATCTTCAGAAATTCGACCAGGGCTCCAATGAATCTGAACACATAAAGCCCCTTCTTGTTTTTGTTCTTTTCCTCATTTTGGGTCATATGCTGTTGACATCCAATGAATAGTTATTGTTAACAACCAAGCGAACTCAAATGCAAGGGCAAACTTGTCATGATAGCTGTCTGCCAAACTCGGGAAGCAGACACCGTACTTCATATTCTTGAACAAAAAACCATCGGTACGTATAAAAAGATGCCAGAACTTGTCATCGATCAAAGTAAGGGAAGGTGCATGGATATTAAGTCAAGCAGTGAGATGCGATATATAAAGATGCTTGAATTTCAACAAATTCAGCGGAAAATATTTCCAGCTTAAAAGCATGCGTTCAGGGACCGGAAAAGAAGCGAAACAAAGCAAACAGTAGTTGTTCTCTTCTAAATGAAACCAGGATAATAAGGCTAAGGAAATTATTACATTGCCTCGTCTCAAAACCTTAAACATAGGCCTTGCGACAGAGGTTGCAATCATTACTTGCTGGTTCGTTGAAGTTGAACATAATTGATTTTAACTAATACATACATATCACTGCCTGCTGATTCCTGAGGAGGGTATTTGATAGATGTCATCCCTGTCGTGAGGGCTATTTCCTCTGTCATGATTAGCTCTGTCAACCTCTAACTCTCTAAATCTGTGCAAATACCTCCTCAGTGGGTCAGCGTAGTCGTCAAAACCAAGCGTGCCCAGGGCCCAGCATATGTCATCCCCATTCACCGTCTTCCTCCTCTCCTTCCGGCACTTCTCAGAGGCCTCGCTAGTGACGAAGCTTATGAACTCTGACACGCATTCTTGCATGGTCTCCTTTGCTTCCTTGGATATCTTGGCGTTCTGAGGCAATATCTGCTTCATGATCCGACCAACATTCGCTATCGGCAGCAGCCTGTCTTGCTCTTTGATTCCACTGTTGTCGTTATTCGAAGAAGAGCTTCCTCCAACGTTCTCCATCGGCTTTCAGCTTTCCCAGGATCAAACTATGTGATTCTAGGTAGACAGGTATTCGTGTGTGTATTAGATATAGGACAGAGAAGACGCACACATACCCAAGTAGTTATTATATGTGGCGACTCTTCTTTCGTTCAAAGATGGATGGGGACCTGGTCGGCTTAAATGGTGGGATCCAATGGTGCAACAGAGTCCATTGGAGAGTGTGGGTGAAGTCCAGAAGCGAGATTGGACGGTGAGAGAGCTTTTGGGATAGTTGAAGAGAGTGAAAGGGAAAGAGGTAGCCCTTTTACGATAGGTGTGGGATACAACAAGGTGTTAACCTATCCACCCAATGAGCTGATCGCTCTTGGCTGTTTTATCAAATGATTTGATGATTAGCATCTTTAAAACACGATTCTTTGCGGTGCTTCGTTCTTTAATCTTTATACACCATCAAATTAAATTTTGTGGCATTTATATACATATACATATGGTTACCGGAATTTAATGCTCCTACTTTCAATTTCTTTTATTCTTTAGGTGGATTCTAACTGGACCTGTCACGGAGTAAGCTTTAAAAAACGAGAGTTGATTTTTATTTTATTTTAGTTTAGCTGCATTGCTCCAGTCAAGTGCACACCCTTTCATATACAGGAATAGGACGGCCAACCAATAATTGTTCAGCGCGGGTGTTAATTGTCATGTAAATTTACATATATCAAAACTTTAAATATCACTTGCTAGCTAGCTGCGAAAGAATAGGTGGGGAATGGGGATAGCAATATATGTTAAGGTAGTGGCATAATTTTCGTGGCTTGCTTTATTGATCGATAATTAAAATTTCGTTGATAATAATATGAAAAGCGCTAGCTTTGCCAAAAAGCCATGATTGCTGTTTGTCGGAGTCAGCGGCTCCGCGGTGCCGGCAACTATATATTGCTTGGACCAATAGCGATAGCACAAATAATAGTAAAAACAGGCCCAGCGATTCAACGCACGAGGAGATTGCTGGCCTTGGCTAAGGATTGCTATTTCGTTCAGTGTTAACTTTTTCTTTTTCTTTTTTAAAGTATCATATTCAAAAATATAAAATATTTTTTTCTTTCAATATCGAATTCATTCATATATATAAAAATATTCTTAATTTTTAATATAATTAATAATTTTTTTTGAATTGAAACAGTGTATTAAATAGGGATAACATAAAAAATATATATAATTTTAGATGTTATTAATTGATTTATTAAAATGTGTAAATTAATTTAAGGTATTTATAATAGTGAACGGATGGAATATTTTTTTTTGGATTAAATTAATCTGTTGTCAATTAATTAGTATGAGACATTGGATGTGGTATTAGTTACATTTTTTTCAATATTATCTCTAGTTAAACTCATTAATTATGAAAGATAATATAATGTAAGTTTATAATTTTTTATTTAAATATAGATAAAGTCAAAAGTTTATTCCATTTTTGACAAAACTTATTATTTAACCACATCTTCTTGATTAAGATGAAATGGTTAGTGTATTATAATAAAGATTGAATTACATGAATAGAATGACCAACATTAATTAATATCCTGCCAATGCACATGAGACCAAGTTTTTACCAATGGGAAATTGAGAAGTTAATGGATTCTTAATGGATTTGGATCATTATAAAAATAACAGCTGACACAATAAATTAATCGAATGGTTAGAATTAATTTTATTATATAATATTAAAAAATACTAAATTTTAAAATTTTGGGGGAGATAATGTGCGTGAAAAATGTAATGATCACAAGAATTGTATTGAAATTTTGAAGAAAAAAATATCTTCATAGCTTTTAAATATTGATAAAATTCAATAATTGTAATTTATTAAATTAGAAATTTTAAACCATCCATCAAATCCAAGTTCATTTTTAATTGTACTAATAAACAAGATTACATTAAAGATATGGATGGATGTTGCATGAGAGTTTCGCACACAACTCTAAAGAAGGATCACCGTGACTCTGCCTTGGGGTAAAGATGAATAATACGAGCCTTTCCTTTCGGAAACAACAATAGTACAATTTTGATTGTGGAAGGTCCACGATATTTGTACAACTTCAGTGAGATCCAAAGGCACATTTCCATTGTCAGCCTTTTGTCTATGCAAGCAGTTTTAAAATCCGAATACATTTGAAGTCAAGCCAAAAATTTTCACCTATGAATGCGCTGTACCAAATTTTCGATACCAAAAATAAATATATACATATATATAATTTCGATTCCTTCAAATGATAAATTAAAACTAAAAAAACATTCTATTAAAAAAAAACAGAGAGAGAGAGAGAGAGCAATCGGACGGGGACAACAGCCTTCTTGACTATCGACCGTGATTATAGACTAGATAATAAATACCTCTGACCTTAGCTTGCTTTCTTCCTATCCTATGCCTATGAGGGTGTTAAATAATCTAAAGCAAAAAAAAAAAAAAGAATGAGAAAAGTATGTCCAAAAATTTTCAATTCAATGCAAAAGAGACTCCAGCCAATCGGAGGTCAATTCATAAGCAACAAATGTTACGGCCCCGGCCGGTGCAGCTTTGATAGTTGAGGGGACTATCCCTTTGTATAAACCAGCCCAACCCTCAGACTGCAATATCCTCCGCATCGCATCAAACATATTCCTATATGCACGATGCTCCACTCGAGCTCCATATCTCGGATGCCTTTGAAGCCCTTCAATCTGCACCCATGTCTAGATGTCTATAAAATTTTCTACATCCACATTACATGAAACTAACGTCCAGTTATATTAACCACCCGCTATACTTGTTTTGTTACAGATGACACAAGACAACAGACATCATTGTACTGGAAGGAATTTAAAATAAAAAACTCCCTAGATTTCCTTTTTCATCTTTTGATCGAAATGACGCTACACTTCCAATTTCTTGAAAATTGAAATGAGGATAGGTTTACCTGAAATCTTTTCTTCACCACATCCAGGGGATGACAGACAAGCTTGGCACATGTTCCCGCCGCTAATCCACAAAGGAAAAGTTGAAAGCTAGAGAGGCCATCTTCTGAAGCAGTTTCGGAATATCTAAGGTTCCAAGCCTACAATTTTTCGCAGAACATATATCATAAATGAGCACATCGCCCTGAATTCCTCGCTACAGATCAAGTATCAGTGAGGAAATTTAACTATCTTTGTGTACATGATTACCCAGCCTACTAGCGAAAAGCTAGAACAGTTTTGCAGTAATCTGTTACTTTCCCGCTTAAAGAGTTGAAATGCAGACCTGAACTGATTATAAGGAATAATTAACTGCTCATACTATTACTATCTAGCAGGCATAGTAGTTCAGGTAAGAAAAATAAATTTTGAAAAAAAACAAAAGGACTGAAATTGTACCATAGCCCAACGCTTGAATGTATCATAGGTACCAAACTGTAGACCTGCATAAGGTATAATCTCAACTAATGTTGGTGATAATCCAGCATACAAGCCTCGGATGCCACGAGTCCTGAGTATATCAATTAACGCTGCCCTCATGTTTGGATATACCTAAATGATGGTACATATTTGCATAGCATATGATTAGAGAAAAAATAGTTCCATGATGAACATGACGATGAAAAAGAAAAGGAAAAAAAAATCAAATAGCAACAAACAGCCATGTTCAATGCGGTGCCAAACCACCAATGTAGTTCTTTTAATCCGTGCAGGAGGTATAAAAATCAGGTCATATCAAATACCATGAAGAATCTATCAATTTAGTTCTTTGACTACAAATTGAACACTGACATATGAAGTTGCATACCCTCGAGTCTCAAAAAAAGATTAAGATGTATTTCATGGGGTTTAAAATTTAAAGCACAACTCCTGGCTTGTACAACTTGTATATGCGTAGACCCAACCATTTTTTGCTGGGCAATACAAATATTCACGGGGGGCTGGCATATAAAAAGAAAAATGTTTACATATATATACAATTTTTAAGCACAGCAGATAGAGCTATCAAATGTAGTTGCCTCACGTAAGTGAAGAGAAAAGACACGATTCAAGTGGATGTTTTCGATTTGGTAGATGGTATAACTATGCCAGCAGTTCGCCTCAATAACTTTTGGAACACTAATAAACAGAAGAAAATTATTTTGAATAATACCCTGCACCCTTAACCATATGATAATGCTTGTACCTTAGGTTCACCTTGAGAAGCTAAAATAGTTCGGAGAAGATCAAATGGATATGACCCTACAGTAGCTGCACACCCAGCTAAAGCTCCGCTGACATAGGATAGATAAGGGCTCAGATTAATGTGATTCTCTGTAGCAACAGAAAACAAATGATGAACATAAATCAAGAATTCAAAGAGTCATGGAATTTCTCTGCAAATAATATCTCTAACGAGGGAACAGGCATAGCTTTTGGCCAACAGATGATAAAGTATCTATCTGTTAACTATGGATGGCATCTTCTGAATATGACTTATGACAACACAAATTAATAAATTGAAATTTAGAATGACGCTCATAAACATGAAGATTTATTGGAAAAATGTTGGCGGAGGAACAGTGGAACACCTTATAGCAATGGGATAAATCAAAGTTCCAAAAAGAACACCTGTGAGACATCTAGGAAATAAAGTCACTTGGCTTCCTAGCTCGTACGCTGGCACACTGAATAAAATTTGAATTGGAAAAAAAGAATACCTGTCTTGGAAGAACCAGCAGCAAACGTTTTCAACTTGTGTAATACTGTAAATTGTATTGCTGTATATGGCATAACCATGAGTAGTGCTGGCACGTTGCCCCGCCAAAAGCCCTGCAATAGGCAGTTGACAGAAAAATATCAGCAAGAAATAATAGGTTAACATGCCCACCTCTTCCCCCCCCCCCAAAAAAAAAAAAAAAAAGAAAGAAAGAAAGAAAGAAATAAAACAGTGGGGCATATTATAAAATTCCAAACACCAGCACACAACCAGACCTCACAGACAAATAACTGGTACCTGTGAAACTGTAAGGAGAATATGAAGGATGAGGTGGACTATTACAGAAGAGAAAAATCATATGACCGAGCATATGCATCTGGATTTAAAACTACTGGAGGAAGATTTTATACACTTTATTTGCAAGCACATCAGAATGGATCTTGCATCCCTTCAATAATCATTTTTAGTTATTGACAAGTGTCTTAAGCTATGGACGTACAAAATCATGGTTAAGAGAGAATAAACAAGTTTTGAGAAGCCTCACTCCTTATAAGCCATCTTTGAGCCGCAATGATAATATATGTATGTATATACTACTGGGTCAACAATCTTAATCCATTGAAATTGACGTAGTTAAGGATAGCTTCACAGAAGAAAGGAAAAACAAAAGGACACAAAAGAAGAGGGTGAAATCAAACAAAGTCTAGGAAAGCTGAGTAATGCTACCCGCAAGCCTTCCTCTCTAAAAATATCTTTGGTTGCTTGAAGCATTCCAGTATATTTTGACGGTGCAGACAGGTCCTTGCGTAGTAAGCCCCATGAAGTTGTGGGCTCAAGTTGAACCTGTCAATAAATGGACGTACAGTTTTGTTCAGCAAAATTCTCACTTGAAGATGGAGCTGGCAAATGGCAACAATTAACAGCAACAAAATAACAACCCAAAATCCCTTATAAACGTAGAATACATTCGAGTCATACAAAAATCTTATTGCCCCGCCCCATCTGTCAGTGCAAACTTGTCCTATAAAAGAAACTCGACAGTGTGTGGTAGGCAACCTAATGTGCCATAGAAAGGAAGCTGTTAAGACAAGAACGGACCAAAATTGACCTGGAATCTAATCTTAATAACATCAAGCGGTGATGTGATTGTCCGTGATATACCACCAGAAATTGCCCCAGCCATGGCATCGATCATCGCCCGCTTCAGTTGGCTTGGCTCCTCCATTGCCGGAAACACTCTTCCCCTTCGGACTATGATCTAGAAGATGAACCCAAAACCGCTTTAGATCACAGAAAGTAAAACAGACCGCATGGTTTTAGATGTCAAGAAACTCCACAAGTACCCAAATAACGGAAGCAACACCAGCAACAGCGATAATTTGGCATTGATAGCAAAAATAAATCGAAATAATCACCAATGACCAGCTCAGTCCCCTCATTAATGCCCAATAAAATCACTAAATATCTTAAGATTTTAAGATTATTATAATCACAAGGACCAAACTGTTCAGGAGCAGGGAGAAAACAGCAAAATTCCCATCAAAGCCAAAAGGAACCTATAATCTATTCCCGAGTATGCACGTCTACCTGCGGGGAGGGAAAGAGGCAATGGAGAAAAAAGCCATCATCCGGGAGAGGAACAGAGAAAGAGGCTGGCCTGAATGCCGCCTTATTCCATTGAGATTTGGGTGCGACGATACAAGACGGGGCGAGACGCGCCTCTGCAGAAATTCCAGCACAATTAAATAATTAAGAAAAATCTTGCTTCCGTTATTCTTTCAAAATTTAAATATTATCGTTGTTGTTAAGTGTTCAAAATTTTACTTAATTCAGAAGCACTCAAAATAGTCACTCGCCTTATTCCGAGGATTCGGACACTAATAGACCTGACACAGGCATGACGTTGCCCGGTTGCAATTTGTGCAAGCAGTGAAGGTGAAAATAACAATACATGGAGATCGTTCAAGTGTCAGCAAGATGCATCGTTAAATTTCAGCGTATAATTTAAAAAAAAAAAATTCCTCCCGCATCTCATCAACTGAAAAACCTTCCTTGGCTTGCCATGGGAAAATGCAAGCATGTTTAAATAACACTCAAAAACACATTTAAATATTCGAATCATAGTTTTAATAAGTTTAACAAAAAGTTAAATGTTTAAATATGTTTTTGTCAAATATAAACTAAAAATGAAACGGAGGCAATTTCAATGGGTGGGTTTCATTTAAAAGATCAAACAGGATTCCGCAGTATCTATCTATTATCTTTTTACTTTTTCATACAACTATCCCTTATCTTTTCATATATATTTTTTGCCAAAGGAAAAAGGGAATCTTAAGAGTAAAGACAGATCATTGCTTAAAAATTGGCCAAAAAAAAAAAACAACTTGAAGAATGAAGAACCCGTGACTGGAATAGTAGAACAGCAAGCCAACAGAATGAGTGAGTTGTTATTGATGTTAAGTTTTATATACATAAATGTAATTTAATATGTAAAGTACCCTGCTGCTCATATATTTGTGGTGCATATTTTAAAATAAGCTACTTATACAATGACTCGGTACCATTTGGGATTTTCTTGCTCTGACCACATCGCCAGATCAAACCAAGAATGTCGAATACAAATGGTGTTTGCAGGCTACGAAAGGTCACGATTCCCAGCCGCGAAACGCTTTTAATTTCAATAATTTTGGAAACTATTCTTTGTGATGCACGTGGGAAAGTGTCAAGATAGGTGTATATGTTATTGATGTATTCCACAATAGGTGTGTGTATTAAAACATGGAACAGCAGATGAAATCATAAAACCATTGGTTTGCCGTAGAGAATGGGATAACGACAAACCTTTGGTAGTAGTATAGCAATTGATGTAGAAAAACCAGCATTTTCATTAAGGCGTGCCTCCCGAAAGCGGGAACCATGGTGTATGATCATTCCCATCAGTTTTGCTTTTTACTGTTTAGTCGTGTAATTTCCTTTCTTAGCGTGTCAGGGGGGAGGGAGGGAAGGAAAGTGTTGTTTTCGTGAAAGTCGACATAAATTTTTGAAATAAAAAGGGGCGTCAAGTTGAATGTAACATGTGAACTATCAGTGTAATTTATTTCACTGCAATTCAATAAAATGAATACACAAAAAAGGCCTGTCAAAAATTTAACTGCCAAAATCAATTAAAAATTACATAATCCGTTTTTAGTTAAGATATTTGAGTTCTCGTTATTATTTGGGAGAATGATCATGAAGTACAACTAGGAAATCTAAAATTGGTGTCCAGAATAAAAATTTTCTCCGACGGAAGTGATTTACACTATTTATATTTAACTTAATTAATTCAATCTGTTGGTCACAGATAATAATATCTAGTTTATATACATATGCACACACATTTACAGAGTACGCAAGGGATATGTATGGCAATGCGGTTACACGACAGGCTGAAGCACTTCCCCCAAGAAAGATAGAATTAAAAATAGATAATGGGCGAGGCGTCAATGTCATTCATTGTTGGGAAGATTCTCAGCCCATTTCCATCACCCTGTGGAATCCTTGACCACCCCAACTTATATAAATCCAGCTATCCGTCAGAAACCACACCTCCCGTATCCAAAACCGCTCTTCGTCCTTAACTCTCTTCCCCGCCTCTATTATCTCAACCCTTCCTTCCTTTACCACATCTTTTTTCTCACTTCCTAGAGTTGACAATCTCTCTTCGGAATGGATTATAGGATGTTAGAACTCAGCATCGTATCTGCAAACAACATCAAGAAAGTTAACCATTTCTCCAAGATGCATGTATACGCTGTAGTTTCAATCATCGGTGATCCCCAGCAGAATCAGCTTGCCAAAACCCCCATCCACAGACACGCCGGCGACAGCCCCGTTTGGAATTTTGCCATCCAGTTTTCCTTTCAACGAGTCCCTGGCCAAGCAAAACCAACTCACCCTTTATATCCAGTTATTTGCCCATCGCTCTATTTTAGGCGACAAAGACATCGGGAGCGTTCAAGTCCCTGTTAACGAGTTGCTCGATCGTGCCAGATATGGAAAGTCATTGCAACATATGAATTATGAAGTGAGGAAACCATCGAGAAAACCCAAAGGGTCTTTGAATATCTCTTACAAATTAGGGAAAATATTCATGAGGTTTCTAATGACAGTGCCAAAGGAAGAGCTTGCAATGGCATATCCTCCACCACCACCCATGGGATCTAGCTCGATGTCGTACCCTTCACCACTGCCTCAACATGCTGCTCCATATAGGTATCCACCTCTACCGCCATACAGTGGGTATCCACTGACTCATCCTGGATTCAGGTACTCGGCTCAACCGGGTTACGGGTATCCACCAATTCAACAGCCAGTAAAGAAGAGCAAGTTTGGAACAGGAATGGGAGTTGGGTTGATGGGAGGAGCGCTCGGGGGCTACTCATTGGAGATATGATATCTGACGCTAGTGCTTATAATGCTGGATATGATGATGGTGTTGGATTTGATTTTTGAAGTTCTCTTTTCCAACCTTTTGGATAGTGCAAGTCTAGAACGCTATGTTCTTTTAAGTACTACTTTCTTTTAAGTTTTCCTTAAATTATGCAACTTCTCTACTTCTTGTTTAATCTTGCTCTTTTAATTCCTTTACTAGAACATACTATATACTTAATGATAATAGTTTCTAGTATTTAAAAACAATAATGATCGTTGTTTTGAAATACTACTTTATCATGGTTTTAGTTACAGATTCTCATCATATCTCCAAAAGTTTCCTTTATTATAGACGATTAATAGGTCTTAAGTCAATTTTCATCTCGCAATTTTGTTTTGAATAATACACAACAATTAACGCCAAATGTTGAATACAATAAGCTATTACTAGTATCACTTTTTTAAATTCATTAAACTCCCTGAAACCTAGAAATATAATGCTATAGTGGAGCCACAATTATATGGAGCTTATTTTAATCGGAAGGGCAATCTCTAGCGGATAATAAAATTGCTCATGATTTTCAAGGACTAGCTTGAAGGCATCCATAATGAACCATGATTTTTGCCTAGAATACCATTAAAGAAATGCCTATGCAAGCCATACGTGGTAGTTGTTGTCATGTCAAATTCAAGCCCCTTCAAAACCATTCAATTTCACAATGTTGCAAGACTTGAACAGCCTGGCAACAGTGGCAACTGACATGGTTGATGTGTTTTAATTTGCATGGTCAAAATTGATGACATAAGTATAATGAAATTGAGATGCTTAGATTAGAGACCTCTCCAATAGATCTACTAGCATGGAAACATGGGTAGAATTGGTGGCTTACAATATGATTCCCTAATTTCTATAATCATGAACAAAGGTCCTAGGTTAAACCTGTATGAGCAAATAATGAAATCTTCTTTAGTTGAAAAGAGCAAATAATGGAGTCTGATATAAATAAGCTAGGCAAGGCTCTACATATTTTATCAAGAAGGAGGTTATCTAAACATAAGAAACTTGCAAGAGACAATGGTTAGTGGAATCTCTTCCAAGCATGATATACTCTTAAGTTGTAGAGGTCAAGAGGCTTTAGAGTAACCATGAGATTAAAAGGAGTGTCTTTAACAATAATCGAGTCTACGCTTTGCTACACAAAAGTCTTGTGCAATATAAATTTTATAGTTTTCTATTGCTTCATTCAAATCTCCTTTATCCTTTGCATTTCACAAACAAGCTATTTAGCAAAATGATGCATGCAAGCCGCAAGGCATGTTCTGCTTGCCTAGGCACACAAGCTATCTATAACATAAAGACTCAACATGCACTCACTCAATTTTTTTTATCAAATGGGGTCAAATTCGTAGGGCCCAAATAATGTATCTCACTATTCATCCCCACATAGTCTAGGCCATCAGCCGCATCTCAGCTTATTGTGGGCCTAAGAGTTGGAAAAGATGTATGGGTCTTTTTGTTGTTTTTATTTTTGGACTAGACAAGTTTGGATTGGTCAAACGTAACCTAAAAAAGAAAGTTAAAACCCTAAGAAGGCAGATAAATACAGGCACATATGAAAAACCCTAGAGGGTGGCGGTAGTTTCAAGAATAAAAGTAGAGATATGACCTTCGGATGAGACTAAGAGCATTGATATGTTGAAAAAGCTCTTCAAATTCATGGGCAATAACCTCAAGAACATACCTAAAAATCCTTCTTATGAAGGCCTCTCCTCTAGTTCTAATTGCTACTGCTTTTGCCTCTACAAACTAGAAGAATAAGGTCTACTATGTCAGTGACTTTGTGGTCAAGCAAGCCACCAACATAACTGGACCCAACCTTGTCTCCCTCGGCACTTGCATCAATAAATACACCCACAGTGGTAATTTTCACCCCACCATTCAAGCTTTGAATTTACTTGCCTTTAGTGCTAAGCACAAGGTCTAGCTCAAACCTCGATCAAAGAAGTCCTTCTTATATGGTAATCATGTGCTAAAGAGTACCTTAGGATGTATTTTAGATAAGGTATTGAAAATTAGAGCGATTATCAAACCGGTTAAGGTTAAGGGTTAGGATTCAACTAAGGTCAAATCAACACTAGACCGATCATAATAAAATAATGTAAGTTAATAAAAACATATTATCCAATACTTAATATCTCATAAAATATCACATATAATTACAATAATCATATTTTCACTTATTCTCCTGGGTCTTTTTTTCTTTGTCCATAAAACAAAAAAAAAATCTAAAAAACTATCTATAATACTATCAATATAAATATATTTGAGAGCTCCAATGC